AACTATATGGAATCTGCATGGAAAAACCTTCATTGCTTCTAGACCATACATAGATTCAGAAAGGATGATGTAAGTGCAAAGGTCATGTGTACCAACTCCACTTACCAGGTCCTGAATAATGAGACTGGTAGCAAAAAGGGAGCGCCTATCTGGACCACATGAAGAGCTGAGTGATGGAGGATGTGGGAAGGAACACATGAACGCTATGCCAGGCCACCGTTATGATCATAACCCAGAAAGCAGGTTCCCTCCTGAAGACACTTACCCTGCTAATAGAGAAACATACAGACACCAGCCATCTCCCATGCCGCATGAAACGCTGTGTCTTTAGACGTCCCAATACATTGCTATCTGTCTTCTTCCAACCCCAACCACAAGACACACATCTGGAAATATTTCTCAGCCTAGTTATGGCTTCCTAGTTTTAACCAATCATTCAAAACATGTCAGACCAGTGGTTCTCATCCTTTCTAATACAGAGACCCTTTAATACAGTTCATTGTGTTTTGGTAACCCCCGCAACCATAAAATTATTTTTGTTGCCACTTCATAATTTTGCTACTGTTACAAAACATAATGTAAACATCCTATATGCAGATGGTCTTAGGGGGCCCCTGTGAAATAGTCATTTAACCCCCAAGGGGTCATGACTCAGTGGTTGAGAACCAATGTATTAGCCTCTACAGTTTGCCTATGTTTTGCTCAGTGAAACCCTATGCCTTCTGTAATAGGATGAACAAAGAGTATGAAGAAAATAGTAGAGGGTGCCACTAAGATGAATGAAGAGGTGTTGGAGAGGAGGGAAAGATGGAGTAGCGAAGTGGGGTTTTTGTTGTTGTTGTTTATTTGTTTTGCTTTGTCTTTAATTAATATTATTTTTATTTTCTTTTGTGAGGGATGCTATAAGGATAAGGGACAGATATGGAGGGACTAGGAAATAAGCAGGATTGGGGTGCATGATGTGAAATTCCCATAGAATCAATAAAAATTTAAGTTTAAAAAATTGTAGCCTTTAGCTGGGCAGTGGTGGTGCACACCTTTAATCCCAGCACTTGGGAGGCAGAGACAGGTGGATCTCTGCGAGTTTGAAGCCAGCCTGGTCTATATAGAACTAGTTCCAGGACAGCCAAGGCAAAGATACAAAGAAACCCTGTCTTGAAAAACAAACAAAAGACAAAACAAAACAAAAAATCAGTCTTTATTTTTTACCACATCATCACAGCTCCTGAGATTTAAACTGACAGATCAAATATGGAACTGGTAATTAAATGAAAAATAAAATAAAAAGGACCATGACTGCTACTAGGTATAGTGGAGGAGAAAGTTTATTGCAGATCAAAGGAAGATACAGTCAGAGGCAGGGACATCTGGAAGAGTCCAGAGTGGACATGACCAGATTGAGCTGGGACACGTGGGAAGAAGGGGAGGGGAAAGGAAAGGGGAGAGAGGAGAAACCAGGTGCAGCAGCCAGGAGGCCCAAAGTTACAAAGAGAATGGGTAACCAAGATGGTTAGATAATATAGGGAAGAGCAGTCCAGTCTCAGCAGGTAGGGACGGAGGGATTGCACGGAGGTGCCCTGGTCCACTTTGATACATTAAATAGGCAACTTAGCTATTTGCCCCAGTTTGAAACCTAACAGTAATTAAACTTGATTTCAAATGGGCAGACTTACACTAACAGTATTTGTTATCAGGGTGTGGCAGCACATGCTTTTCATGGCACCATTTGAGAGGCTGGAGCAGATGGGTCTCTGTGAGTTCAAGGACAGCTTGTTCTACAGAGCTAGTCCTGGGCCAGCCAGCACTGTATAGTAAGACCCTGTCACAAAATGAATTTACTAACCAACAAACAAGTAAAACCAGCATGTGTTGTTTATCTGATGTTCAGATTTAGTAGCTAGGTATTCTGGTTATCTTTAACTAACTATTAATTTGACACAGTCTAGAATTATCTGGAAAGAGAACAACTAATTGAAGAGCTGCTTAGATCGAATTGTCTTGTGGGCATGTCCGTGTGCTTTCTTGATTGTTAATTGATATAAGAGAGCCCAGCCCACTGTGGGCCGAACCATTCCTTAGGGAGGTGGTCCTGAACCATGTAAGAAAGTCAGTTGCATGTCTGTTTGACAGTGAGAAAGCAGCATCTTCTACAGTTCCTACAATTCTTTGGCGATGAAGAAAGTTTCTCTATAAAGAGATAAGGCTGTCTAAGCGAGAAGTGGGCCTCCCTTTAACGTCTTGCCTTGATTTCCCTCAATGATGTACTGTGCCCTGGAATTTTGAGACAAATAAATCCTTTCTCCTCCAAAGTTGCTTTTGGTTAGGGTATTTGTCACAGCAACAGAAATGAAACGAGAACACCAGGTATCCTGTATTTTTAGTCGCTAGACCCTGTGTCGGAGCAATTTATTCCAGAGAGGCTCTGGAAATGGCCTCCAGCTGGACCCATGAACGCCATTCCTCTGTGCCTCACTGAGACATGGGCTAGAGCTGCTCTTCTTGTCAGATAGATTTTCCAGGGCTCCCAGAATCTACAGGCCATGCCCTCTGTCCAAGCCTTCATGGATACATACCTTCTTTCCCCCAGAACCTTCCTCTACCGCCTGTCATGTCTATACTATAGCCCACGGGCTACATGTACTCCAGGATAGCTGTGAATACAACCCGATACAAAATTCTAAACTTATTTGAAATATTGGGAGATTTTCTTCTTCAGGCCACTCATTTGTTTTTTAGTTTAATTTAGTTATTTTGTTTCTTTGAAACTTGATTGGACATTCTTAAGTGTGAACTTCGTAGATGACAAGACCGTTTGACATGCTTGCTACCGTTCCTGTGTAGCAGGACCAAATAATTCCCTGGTTTACTCTTCCCTTCCCCCCTCTTTGCTTCTCTCTTCCCTTCTGTACTTCTCTTTCTGATCATCACCGTCCTCTGAAGCCACCAAGTACCCAAGGTTTCTTTCCTCTGCATCTGGAAATCACATCTAATGCTTTTTCCTCCCTCATCAACCCCGCCTGAAACACGCTCTAATGAGAGACTGCTGTGAGCCCAACCAGCCATAGGACACACCTTGCTTTTCAACTTCTGGACCTGAATGATGTTATTGTGTTTTGGTTGTTGGGCAATGGTTAGCCGCTGCTCATTGTTGAGTGATAATACAGTCCAGGACCATAGTCATAATTTTCCCCACTGAAATTCCATGCAGACCTTGAGTTAGGAACTGTCATTAGTCTTTTCTTTGTAAGTCAAGACAATAAGGCTGTGGCTTGAGTATAATTTATCTCCATCAAAGTCCATGGCAAGGATTTTGTTGGTTTGTTTGCTTTGCGGTGCTCGGCGTTGAACTCATGGCCTCACACATTCTGGGCAAGTGTTCTACCCTCAGCTACATCTCCAGTCCTTCATGTTAAAGTTTGGTCTTCACTGTGGAGCTGTTGGGAGATGGGACTCAGGGTGGGGGTGGGAGTGGGGTAACTTGGGAAATGCAGGCAGAGCCCTCATAAACAGCTTAGATCTTTCACTTGTAGGAATAAGTTAGCCTTCCTGGGTTTCAGACCCCTTTTCTCTCTACTGCACACGTTCAGGTTCCCCTCTGCTTTCTACCGCGAGTTGAATCAACACATATTCCTCAGCAGATTCAGGTCCCCTTATCCTGGCCATTCAAGTTCCAGCACCATGAGCCAAAATAAACCTCTTTCTTTCTTTCTTTTTTTTTTTTTAAATTATCCAATCTCAAACATCCTGTTATAACAACAGAAAAGAGACAGAGACAACTTAGGCAAATTAAGTATATTCTCAAAATCCTCAGCTGCAAGAATAGAAGTTTGGTACAACCTCAGGTCAGGATTCAGACAGCACAAGCACCAGACCCTCTTGGCTCCACAGAGAACCCATCTTTTGTCTTATAATTTTGCACGGTGGTGTTTCATCCCCATCCACGTCACGTTTTACTCCTACTCCTATTATTTGTGTTTGTGTTTCTCTCCCCTAAATTGCTTTAATCTCTAAATCCCTGTTATTACATTTCCTTCTCTTCCAACTCTGGCTTTTGAAAGCATGCCTAATATCACGTCGTGATTAAGGTCCTAACCCCAGCTCACACACCCAAATCCTGGAAGCATCAGAGCAAAGTTGCCCAAGGTGGAGAGACAAAAAATAGAAACTCCATCTTGGCATTTTCAGCAGTGGGTGTGGAGCCCCTACGAAGAACCAAATGCCGTGTGGTGCAGACAGAGACATCAGCCGGCTCTCTAGATGGGCCTGCTGGTGACTCTCCTCTTCAAAAGGGGTGTTGTACTATCACTGGGAGTTCATCTGTGGATCACTACTGGGAAATCGCTGCTGGTGCAGATGGCTGCTGTCTCGGAGCATCTACGGTGGGATGTCGGCAGGCACTTGAATCTCAGAGGGAAAATCGGCTTTTCTCCATTGTACTGTAAGCCTTCTTCTGGCAACAGCTTGAAGAGTGTCCTTAGGAAAAGGTCAGTGATTATCATGTCTTCAGCTAGCACGTCTGGAAGAAAGAATAAGCCTTGAAGTTCTTTGTAAAGGTCACATAGCTCCCCAACTCCAGGCTTGGCCAATGGTCTTGCAGCTGCAGGGGCTGGGGACTTCCAGAAACCCTGGGCAGACATCTGCAACACTCTAGGTAAAGGGATGGCCTTCACTAGTGTGGACGGCTCTGTGAGAGGGAACTTGGGGAGGAGCCAAACCCTGGGGCAAGATGACCTAAGTGGCCCTTGTTCGGAATACCTAAGGCCATTTGTTAACCCCTTCAGACTGCTCAACCGGATCTCTACTATGTGAACATAATTACATTCAGGTAGTTACGGGACACCCATCACATTCATCCTTCCTGCCTGCCAGCAATTAATTTCACTTAATAAATACTTATTGACTGTTGGCTATAGCACTGTACCAGGACCACGGGATAATTGTGACGAATACAATAAGCTGGTTTGAGCCCTGGTACTGGAGGCAAACAATAAACAAGCAAATTAATTCCTCCGGCATTTATTACAATTAGAAGCATATTTACTATGATGCTAAATGAAACATAAGCTTCAGGGACCTCTGGCTTGCATAGCGGGCTCTGAAGGTCCTGAAGGGGCTGAGCCCTGCTTCTGGGGCGTGGGAGGTAGGCTAGTAATTTATTCATGAGCTGTGTTTTGTAACATTGGCAAAAAGCAATATATTTGTGTATCCTTTCTTATAGAAGGTGCCCCCCGTGCATAACCTCAAGCCTGATTGCGAGGTAAGGAGCCCTGCATAGATTACTACCTGCGAACAGCAGCGAAAGCCGCGTTTTGGCCTTTTGTGGGAAAGCAACTGTGAACATGTCTGCAGTTGCTATAAACAAACCTGCTCTCATTTGCCGGTTCTCTTTCCCAATTGCTCCAGGTTTTCGTATATGCAAATCTAAGTTGATAATGCTCAGTTTCGGTGGGGGAGGGTGGTGGTGGTGGTAGAGAAACCTTGCAATCATTGCAAAGAAAAATGTAAAAGTAAACAGAAGAACAAACATAGCGTTTCCTGCAACGCAGCCTGTTCAGCCTGCGTGACTTCTTTGCCACAGAAAGAGGGGATGAGAAAAAAGCGTGATTTTCCAAAAATGGCACTGAGATTATTAAAGGCCAGGTGAACTAGGACCCGAGTGAGATTTTTGAATTTAAAGTGTGGCTGTGAGAAAAAGAAAAGGACGACATCCTGAGAGGCCCCCTGAGCAGGCAGGGCTGGGTGGAGGAAGGGGCGAGAGGGCATCCCAGGAGACCACAGTTAAAACACAGATCGTGGTTGCAGCAGCGGAGCCGCCATGACAAAGATGGAGGCACCATCCTTCTCTCTGTCACAAAGACAGTGACAATGATCAAGGAGGTTGAACTGAAGAGATTAAGTCCATTTTAGTTAAAGACTTCAGGAGGAAGCTCAGGTGACCGGGGCACACGTACCTCAGGAGTGTGTTGGATTTCTGTCATTCAGACAAAACTCTGTAAGACAGATCAAGGAAGAAGTGTTTAGTTTTTAATCTTTTAAAAATAAATGTACTAATTCTTTGTGAACAGAAATATATTTTGAGCATATTCACCCCCCACACACACACACACACTCCTTCCCCTAATTCCTCCAAGATCCACCTCCACCCCCTACCCACCTCAACTTCATGTTTTGTTTATAAATAACCCATTGAGCCCAGTTTCTGAGTGTAAACCATCAACCAGAGCATAAACTACATGCCAGGGGCCACAGCCTTAAAGGAAATGGGCTCCCCCTCTCCCAGAGCCACGGACTGTCACAGCCCCTTGGTTAGGGCCAGGGACCTGCGGAACCCTTCCCGCCCTATGCTGGAATGCTGCCTGGCTGCTGAGTTCACCCAGTGCAGTTTCTCGTAGGGTTCAGAAGACAGTTTCCCTCCAGTCCCGCCTGACCTCTGGCTTTGACAATCTTTCTGCTCACTCTTTTCCAGTGGTCCCCGAGCCTGGAAGGTGACATAGATGTCCCATATGGGGGACACATCTTCTCTGCACTTTGATTAGCTGTGAGTTTCTGCATTTGACTACCTGCCACTGCACAGGTGTGCATGGAAGCACACACACACACACACACACACACACAGAGAGAGAGAGAGAGATAGAGAGAGGAGGAAGAACAAGAGAAAGGATATCCTTGTGACTATGTCCACCAATTAGGTCCTATTTCCTAAAGTTTTCCCCACCTTCCAAATAGCACCATTATTAGGACCAAAACTTGAGCATATGGGCTCAGGGGAGACATTTAAAATCTAAACCACAATAATAAATAAAAATCTACTTTCTGCTAAAAGTACTATCTCCTCTACAAAGGACAAAAACATGACCACAGCATACAATAAACACTATTAGGAGAGAGATAAATTGTGTTCACCCAAACTCCTGTATTGAAATGTTAGCTCATAACACTTCAGACTGTAATCCAGGACATCTGTGTTGTAGAAGAGATTAGGACTCAGACACACACAGAGGGAAAACCATATGAAGATACACAGAGAGACTAGCCACCCAGACCATGAAGGAAAGGGACCTCAGGAACACAACCCCTGCGTCTCAGACTGTGAAAATAGATCACTGCTCTGTATAGCAACATTTGTTATGTTTGTTACAGCAGCATTAGCAGACTAATACAAACCAGTACTGATGTCAGGGCTGTGTCCATATAGTGATAGTGGAGCTCTGAGTCCAAAATGGCCTCACAGTAAAGAAGACCTGGTATGTCTAGACAAAAACAGTGTTCATTGCCTTCCTGGGACCTTGACTCTGTGTGCACACTGGATGTTACAGTTTTGCCCTAATGAAACTCCACTATTTCTCTGCTAGCAGGAGGAGCTTTGATAAGAACTTCCAGTTACTCTGCATATAAAGTGATGTAGCTCATTTATGGAGTATATTGTTGTTTCCTTAGAGAGCATGACTTAGCAAATGATTCAGCAGTTTCTCTCCAAGGAATTTTGCCCGAGAGAAATTTTTGAAGTGCTGCAGAAACATATATGCAAATGACCATAGCAGTTTTAGTCTTAATAGCCAAACTAAAAATAACCTAGATGTCAATCACTGAGTGAATAAAAAGTAACCTGTGAGAATTAACCATTGTTGCAAGAGGGAACGATGTTTTCTTCAGTGGTGTGACCATAGTAAGCTGCCATGCTCACATGAAGAATTCCTTATCTAAGCTCCTGACAGCAGTTCTGATTAAACTCATTACTTCACCAAAGAAAAAGGGAGAAGCATTAAAACAGATGGGGACTAGCTGGGAAGAGGGAAAGGGCAGCAGGGGTAATAGGAGGTGATTGGAATCAAAATACATATGCACATGTCTGGAAATGCCACGATGAAATATTGTTATGCCAAATAAGTATATCTAATAAAAAGTTTTTAAAGTCTAGAAAAAGTGGTGATATAGTCCTATAACAAAATTATACTCATCAATAAATGTGAATAAGTGTAGTATGGAGGGCCGCTTGTTGGTTCCCAGCCACCCGGCTACCTTAGACCTGAAATAATCACATAGAAACTGTATTAACTAAATCACTGCTTGGCCCATTAGGTCTAACTTCTCATTGGGTAACTCTTACATATTAATTTAACTCATCGCCATTAATCTGTGTATTGCCACGTGGCAGTGGCTTACCAGCAAAGTTTCGGCATGTCTGACTCTGGCCTCAGCTCCACAGCTTACAGCCTAGCTTTCCCTGCTTAGTTCTGTTCTTCCCTGCCATAGGCTCAAAGCAGTTCTTTTTTCATTAGTGGTAATCACAGCACACAGAGGGGACTCCCACATCAAATAAGATACTGATATACACAATATGGTTAAATGTCAAAAAATCTCTGAGCTTTATGAATGAAACCAGACACAAAGGCTTCAGCTACGGTAGAATTTGCATGAACATTGACAAGGGTAAAGCAATTGTGACATAAAACTGACCGTGATCCTAAGGGACCGGGAGTCAGGGGAAGGAGAATATAGATGGTAAAGAGAGGAGACCAGCTTTGGGCTACACATTTACAGTGGTTGAGGTGTTACACTACTTAAATATATAGCATGCACAGTGTTTACACACACATACACACACACACACACACACATCTGTGGTATTAAATAGGCTGTGATACTTAAATACATTTGTGGCGTGACACTGCATATTGTCAAAACTCATTAAACTCTCCACTCTTGGTGGACAAACTTATTATACATAATATACTCCACGAATGTTGACCTGACAGGTCAATCTGATAATCATAGAATGAGGAGAAAGGAAAATAACAGAGGCAGAAATATTCGGCCAAATGCTTTTGGCAGCTTTATTTAATGTTGGTGTCCCTGTTGTTTTGAGTAATCACCTGGGCAATGTGGGGTCAGTCAGGAGTAACTGGGGGTGGAGGTGTCTTCTTATTCCAGCATCCTTTGTGTCCTTGAGAACCAACAGACCGCTATTCATATGGAAAAGAAGAGAGAGGTGAGGACAGCTTAAGCAACGCCCCTGAGCACCAAGCTAATAGGAACATGTTAATAGGAGCAGATGGAGTGTTTTGTCAACTAAAACACCATGGAAACAGCAATCACGTATGATCAGTGTGCATCCCTACCACACAATCTCTCATCTTGGACTCCTGTTAGGAGTTATCAGAGAAATGTACAAGATGAGCTCTGGTGATCTCGCCACCTCCTGATAATGAAGAAGTTATGAAAGACAACTGAGGTCATACAAACAATATTCAGGGTTGATGTAAAAAGCTCCCAGTCGCCCAGAAAGGGATAAATGAGCTTTATTATGGATAAAGCTTACACCAGGCTGGAGGCTCTCAAATATGCTCAAGTACATATGCTTATAATAATGCTCAGTTCTTTTTTAATTGGCAGGGAATCAATAGTCCATTGCCTTGAAAACTGGGAAAATTAGACATTTATCGGATTGTTTGTTCCTTTATGAATTCATTCTGGTAATCAGAAAGTAGTTTTATAAGGGTCTTTTTATAAAATGATCTCAGCTAATGAATTAAATCAAGCAAGAAGATAGACCTAGACTACATGGTCTAGCAGAAAGAAATTTGTAGATTTGGATCTTGGCATCAACAATTACAATCATCAAAAACAAAACAAAACAAAACAAAACAAAAGCAAAAAAGCAAACAACGAAAAAGAGAGTGAGCCATTTTGTCCCTGTTGATGAAATAGTCTCGCTAAAGGGATCAAACCTAAGTCTGACCTGGATCCAGGTACCAAGTTTTCAGAGCAGGTACAGGCGGAAGAACAACAGCTTAGACAACAGTACGTGCACAGTTAGTAAAAGCCACTCCCCAGGGCCTCTGACAGCTGTCTGTCAGTCCAGCCGACCTGTTTGAAAGAAAAGGATCCCGACAGAGAGAAATCAGTGGACTGGAAGAGACTAAACATTTCGAGCTTTTTAAAATGTGGAAGACAAACCCTGGCGATTTGATTGGCAGAAACGTGATGCGGTTCCTATAAAAGGCAAGAGAGTGGTTCTTATTTGGAGGGTGCTGTGGCCTGAATTGTGTCCTTCCAAATTCTTGTGATAAAGCCCTAACCATTAGGACTCAGAGACTGAGTATATTCAAACCTGGCATCTTTAATTTAAGGAGGCCAATGAAGGCGGAACAAGTTCATTAGGGTGGACCCTGATCCCACATGACTGGTGTCCTCACATGAAGATGTCACCTGATGAGATGACGTCTGCAAGTCAAAGGTAAGGACTTCTGAAGACTAAACCCGTTGATGCCTTCTCTCGGACTTCAGTCTGCAGAAGGGTGAGAAATCTGTCTGCGCCGTTTAAACTACACAGTTTGCAGTATTTTGTTAGAACAGTCATAGTGGGCTAGTTCTGAGGAAGAAACGGGTTGTGATTGAGCAGGACACAGTCAGAAATGACACTTAGTGGCTGATGAAGTTTCATCGGAAATGACACTAACAGGGGTGTCCACTTTTGAGCCACTCCTCATTTCCTGCTGCTTCATGAGGTGTCTCCGTGCCCATGTTTTATTTGCTGGTGTAAATGTAGAAAATAGGAATGGAAGATAAAGATTTTGCTGTAAACAAAAGTTATCTAGGCAGCTGCTGCAGGAGTACCTTCCGCTCCTTCAGCCAAAAGTCGCTGAAGTACGAGCCCACTGTGCTGCAGAGCGCCTTCGGCTCTGTTAGCCAATAGCCGCTGAAATACCAGCCCACTGGGGCGTGGTATATTTCTCTTTAAAAAAAGAGCGGCAAGCCTCGGCTCGGCCTCTTGGTTCCGGCGCTTGCCTCCGGCTCCTGCTCCAGTGACTAGGCTCCTTTCCTGATGGTTTATGTGTATGTAAGTTTACCCCCCAAAATAAATACCCCTTTAAAACCTAACTGGTGTGGGATTGATTCACCATTAGGCAGCAGAGGGTCTCAGCTGAGATTAGGGAGGAGGAGAAGTTTTTAATAGAAATGAGTGTATCTCCAGCATAATGGTTTGAATGAGAATGGCCCAGTAGCCTCATGTTTGAAAAATTGGTCCCCAGTTGGTAGAATTGTTTAGAAAAGATTAGGAGGTATGGCCTTGTTGGAGGAGGTGTGCCTCTGGGTTCGAGATTTCAAAAGCTCACACCATTCCCGGTCAGCTCTCCGCCTTGTGTCTGTGGATCAAGATGTGAGCTCTCACCTACTGCACCAGTGCCTACCTGCTTGCCTGCTGCTGTGCCCTCCACCGTGATGGCCATGGACTCTAAGTCTCTGAAACTGTAAGACCCCAATAAACTCTTTTTTTAATGAGTTGCCTTGATTGCGTCTTATCACAGCAATAGAAAAAAAGCTCCTAAGACATCTAGCCTACTTCCTGGACAGGAAGTGTACTTACAGAAGTGGGCAGGGAGATGCTGCCGTAGAATAGGAGGTGGTAGGAGAGGGTTTTGCTAAAGCCTGACAGGTTATGAGCCACTGTTCAGCCTATTGAGAGCACCGTGAGTTGGCATTATGCTGGTCTCTTTTCCTATTGCCTCAGTTACTCTCATGTTAGAAAAAAATGAAAAAGGACAGCAGAAAACTGAAACGAAGTTGCTTTATTATTTTTTTCTCTAAGTTATTTCTGTCTTCAAATTTTCAGTTGTACTGTTTTGTTTTCCACTAGGTGAGAATGAACTTGAGTTTCTGATCCTTCTGCCTCCACCTCCTGAATGCTGGGATTACAAGCATGCACCAACACACATGATTTTTATACAGAGCTGGGGATCAAACCTGGGACCTTATGCATGTTAAGCAAGAGATCTTTCAACTGAGCTACATCTCCAGTCCTATTTCTTCAGTGTTTTTTTTTTCCTGCAAGCCTTCTGTGGGTCCCTAGACCCAATGTTTCCCCATCCAGTCTTAGTGTTTCCAAGAACAGTGAAGGAGGTCACTAACTCCATTCTCTTCCCACCAGGATCGCAAAGGGTGTGCTTGCCACGTGGTTCCTAGGCTGTTACCAGGATCTGTTAAATAGTTTCAGTCTTCTTCAAAGAAACTAAACTGCATGCCACTGGTATCCATCTATGCTTTTTATTCTAGCCTCTTAGTCTTGATAACATGGCGAGTTCTGATACATACTTGGCAACTCTAGGGAAGGGTGCTTGCACTTTTTCCTAATGCAGCTACATACATTTGTGACATTGAGCAGTGGCATGGGGTATGAAACTGGTGGCTTTCAGCAGACTTTTAGGGGTGGCTCGTCTCTTCATATGGCTGTAGGATTTGTGGGCTGCCACTGTATGCGGTCTATAGTCTCTGGGAATGGCTAGTCTGAAAGAAACCATGCCTCCAGCATCCCTCATCCATGTGTTATTCGCCTACCACTGACATTTCAAAACCCTGTGATAGAAATCCCATCACCTGGATGTATGCTTTGCTCAGACAATGGTGCCAAGAAAATCTCCCCAGCCTTCCAGAAGGAGTGTTACAAAGACTTTGACAATAGTTGAATCAAAACTCTAGTCTACAATGTCTAAGACATCACATCGACTAGAATGGCAAAAATCACGTTAGGAAAAGCAAAAAGAAAGTCAGAAGAAAGCAAGTGTTGGTGAGCATGAAAAACTGGGATGCTTGTGGATCTCTGGCAGGGAGCAGCCTGGCGATTCCTCACAATGTAAACATGAGATCGCCATGTGGTACAGCAGCAATTCCTAAACAGACAGGCCAAAAACCTGGAAGCAGGAACACGAGCAGATGTCTGTATCCCATACAGGAGCTTTATTAATAGGCAAAGCGGGGGAAATAATTCACATGGCAACTGCAAGGAATGCATAATAAAGAATGACGTGTTCACATACGCAGTGGAATACTATTCTACCATGAAAACTGACGTTTTGACATACTCTTTGTGATACATGCTATGGCATCGCCATTATGCTCAAATAAAACAAACTAGATAGACAAGGACAAATACTTATACACGATACCTCTGAACAGGAAAAATTATACTGACAGGAAGCAGAATGCAAGTTACTAGGATGAGACAGATGAGAATTACAATGCAGATACATCGGCCATAGATGGAAATGATAGCTGCATGCCACTGCGAACATGGTCAGACCACCACTCTTAAGATGATAAAGTGAGGGCAGGAGAGATGGCCCGCCAGTCAAGAGGACTTCTTGTTCTTCCAGAGAACCTGAGTTGGATCCCTACCACTCACGTTGGGCAGCTCGCATGCCTGTAACCCCAGCTCCAACCCTCTCCCCTGGCCTCTTTAGGCATTGCACTAACAGGCACAGAAACACATACATACCATATATACATGAGTTTTTAACAGTAAAATAATGTTGCTTCCTTCCTTCCTTGGCTGGTACAAATATACAAACTGTCCCCATTAATGGAGTATCATGTACTTTTTTGAGACTTGTGTATAGTGCACAATATTTGGATCAGATTAAATATATTTGTGACCTCAAACATTTGCAATTCTTTCTTTGTTGTTTTTATTGAGATGGGGGTCTCACTTTGTAGCCCATGCTGGCCTAAAATTCATGATCCTTCTGGATCAGCCTCTCAAATTCTAGAATGACAGACAGATGCCATCATGCCCAGCTGTCATATCTTTATGAGAATAAATGTCAAAACCCTCTCTTTCTCCTGCCTTTAGAACTACATTATACATTATTATAGGATAAAATATTATGTATATCTTACCAACACAAAAAGCATCACTTTAAAACAAAGTCTAGTCCCACACGCAGGAAACCTTATCACAGATAGCTATCATAAAACTCTTTGTTTGCGTTGCATGTTTACTTTTCTGTGCAGTGCTGCTGATGAAGCCAGGGACTCACGCTGGCTGGGCATGCGCTCACCTATCAAGCTCCACCCCCTGCCCCACAGTAGATGCCTTACCTTTAGCAGTGCTGCCCACCAGACAACTGCAGTCATCTGGATTGCAGCACGCTGGCCCTGGTCTTCTTACCTAAAAGTGTGAAACTCATCATTAGAGGTTCGTCTGATACTGTGACAACATGCACCAACAAAAACAGCTTCGGGGAGGAAAGGGTTTGTTTAGCTTAGACTTCTGGGTCATAGTCCATCAATAGGGGCAGTCAGGGCAAGAACCCAAGCAGGAAGTTGAAGCGGAAACTAGAGGAATATTGTTTGCTAGATCTCTCAGGTTCATGCTTAGCTAGATTGCTCACACGGTGTAGGACCACCTGCTCAGGGAATAGCACAGTGCACAGCAGGCCCTCCTATATCAATTAATAATCAAGACAGTTCCTCACAGACAAACCTGACAAAAACCATTACTTACTTGAGACTCCCCCCCATGTCCCCCAAATAGGCTCACTGTGTAATTAAGTGCTTGCTTTACAAGCATGAAGATCCAAGTGCAAAACCCCAGCATCCATGGTAAAGCCAGGAATGCACATGCAAGTCTATGGCTGGGTGTGGGGCTAGCGGCAAGCAGATTTGGGGACTCACTGGACAGCCATTTCAGTCGAGACAACAAACTCCAGGCTCAGTGAGAGATCCTGTCTCAAAGAATGAGGTGGAGAGTAAGCTCAGCTGTTAATAACACTGGCTGCTCTTCCAGAGGATGTGGGTTCAATTCCCATGGTAGCTCATAACTGTCTGTAACTCCAATTCCAGGGGATCCAATACTCTTAGATATATATGCAGGCAAAACACAAATGTACATGAGATAAAAATAGATTAATTTTAAAAATGAGGTGAAGGTTGAAGACTTTCTAACATCAACCACTGGCTTCCATCTACACACATCACATGCATATAACACACATATGCACATATGCATATAACACACATGCAACAGGCATAAACACCCACATACACATGTAGGTAGCACATGCATACACATATGCACACATACATATAATGCACATATACACATATTAACACATATATGCATATATGTGCACACGTGCATATAATATACACACACATACACACAGAACTGGAATTTATATCACAAGAATCTAAGCACCCCCTCCCGCTAGCTCCAAGGCCAGTGGAATTGGGTTAAAAATACACCCAGGAAACCACCCTGAAGCAGAGAAAGGCCTACCATGGGCCAGAGTCTGCCTCATGTACAACCATAGGCTGACCTAATCATGCCAACCTCTAGGACTGTGTGCTAAACCCAGTGCCACAACATCAGAAACATGTATCAGCAGTCCCTACCCCAGCCTCCCTTCCCAGTGTCCCCATTTTTAGAAACACGAGCCTTGTGCTCAGCAGAGACTGTGAAAGCTGATCTTGGATGATGGTATTGAGGCAGTAAGGCTGACCTTTTTCTACCCAATCTATATTCCTTTCTCTTCTTCTGAGGCTGCGCTCTCCAACAGTAGGAGAGCAGAAGGAGGGGCTAGAAGGAGAACGTAGCAGAAATAGGCAGAGACGATTTGTATCCTTGGACACCTCCATTAAAAGTTAAATTCTGAAGGGGGAGGAGAAACCTGAAATGTACTAAGAGTAGAATTTTTCACCTGCCACATCTCTTTCAGTCTCAGGAAAGCCAGATAGGTCAAGAGGAAGAAGATAATTGATTTTGCCTTTCTGGGGCCTCAGAAAATGAGAGCAGGGTGATGGTGGATGTACTTAATACGGGCTGGGCAGGCAGCTCAATAGGTACCTGGAACTTCACTGGACAAGCATGAGGATCTGATTGCATGCCCAGAAGCCGTGTCAATCCAGACATGGTAACACACATCTGTAGTCCCACTGTTTCTACAACACGGGAGCTGGAGAAGAGAATCCCCAGAAGGACATGTGACCGCTAGCCTAGAGGACACAGCAGCGAACAAGAGATCTTGTCTCAAACAAGGTAGGAGGTGAGTACTGGCACACACACATACACACGTGCACATACAAACATACACAGACAAATAAACACTCATGGACATACAGACACATACACACATGCAGAGGCAAACACACATGCATATGTGCACATGTAGACACAAATACACATGCACATACACATACGTGTATAAACATACAGGCATGAATGCACACGAACATACATAGACACACAGACACACAACACATACAGAGTTCTTTTTTTCAAAATAGCTGTAAACATTAGTCATGGTCTTGGACCTGAACCATGCAAAAGAGATACCTAACAAAGCTGCCTCAGTGAGTCCTTGCAGGCCTGCTCAAGTGAGAGTTTCCACTTGGAACTGGCCTTGGAGATACCTCCTGGTTAAAGTTCAAGGCATTGTGATACATGAGACCTCAATCCAAGCTACCTGACATTGTACTCCAGTCCTCACTCCAGCCTAACCTTTGTCCCTGACTTGTCCCTGGTGTAGAAGGTCCTTCTATTTATGTGTTGCTTTCATTGGTTAATCAATAAAGAAACTGCTTGGCCTGATAGGAGAGAACTTAGGTAGGCAGAAAAGACAGAACTGAATTCTGGGAGGAAGGAAGCAGAGAGAAAGTCGCCATGGAGACGCCAGGTCAGACATGCTAAATCTTCCCCTGTAAACCACGACCTTGTGGTGAACACAGACTAACAGAAGTGGGTTAAATCAAGATGTGAAAGTTAGCCAATAGGAGGCTAGAACTAATGGCCAAGCAGTAATTTAATTAATACAATTTCTGTGTGATTATTTTGGGTGTAAGCTAGCTGGGTGGCAGGGACGAACAAAGGGCCCCTCCCACTCTCTTTGTAACATGTCCCAGTGATTCCTTCCTTGGAGTTGCAGAAAGGGCCTTTTGTAACCACTCAATTCATGGTATGACATTAATAGAAGGTAGGGATCAGGGGGCTAGAGAGATCGCTTGGTAGTTAGGTGTGCATATTGCTCTTACAGAAGTCTCAAGTTTAATTCCCTACGCTTACATCAGGCTAACAGCCACCTGTAACTCCAGCCCCAGGGTATCTAAAACTTCTGGCTTCTGTGGGCAACTGCACCCATATGCATACACACGTGACACCTTGCCAAACACATTAAAATGAAATAAATCTTAAATCCTTTAAAGAAAAACATTTGGGAATCCAATTGCCTTGGTAAAGATGCCATCTCCTAGCTTCCCTTGCAGCTATATCTGGTCATGTGATTAGGTTAACAGCAATGGAGTTGAAACCAAGGTCATGACCTCAGAAGGAGCTGAGCATGTTCTCTTCTCACCCAGTTCTATCTCCCTCTCCACGGGAAATAACCCCAGTGCTGTGAAAGAGCGCCACTGGAAAAAGACCATTTGTCTCTGACAATGGCGGCCCTATGATGTTCTTCTCTAGCAGTTTCTTCTGCCCTACATCCCATCCTTACACTAGCATCAGCTCGACTTTCCTCAAGCGCAACATATAAACTAAGTCCAAATGAATCAGACATGTGTGCTATACTCTATCTGGCACAGCTGTACTTTAATGTGCAAACAAATCACATTAAAATGCAATGTCTTGTTGAAATGCAGAGTGTTTCCGTAGGTCTGGGCTGGGAGCTAAAATTTGGTGTTTCTAACAAGCTGTGATGCTGATCATGTTGATTAGACCACATGCTGCGTAATGAGAACATAAAGCCTGGCTGCTGAGAGGTCCCTGTCATCACTCCACTCTGAGTGTGCAGGTCCTCCCGGGCACCCGCTGAACCCCCGAGTCCTCTCCAGTTTCTCTCTTCTTGCTGAAGGCCTGTCACCTTCGCGGTGTTCCCATCTCTCTGCATCAGCCTGTGCTGACCCAGGTCCTTCTTAGGTCCAAGGTAAGGCTCTAGGGCAAAGCAAACAGTGTGGCCAGATGTGTGGGACCAGACAGCAGACAGCTATAGTAGTGTGAGGACATCACCTCCAGGTTCCAACATTAACCCAGGTGATGCTTCTGAGTGAGGACTTCTGGGCCATTTTCTCGAGAATTCCATCCCCACAATGACTTCATTCCCTTGTTCTCTCCACCTGCCCCAACCCCAACTTCTTACCCCCTCACACCCCGGATGCATGGCTTGCTTAGTTTATTCCCTGTCTATCTCCTCCCACTGGAATTTCGGCCAGAGTCTGTGTTTACCAAGTGGGCCCATAACAGGAAGCTCATCAACACACAAACAGGGACACTACAGAGACACTCTAGGCAGCATGGTGATGCATCTTACAGCCATCAGTCAGGATCAAAAAAAGCGATCCAACTGCAGCCCTTCGGGAGCACAGCCGGGTTGCCAGGACAAGGTCTTGACCGCTCAAGAAACATCAAGATCTTATAGGTAAGAATAGATCTCAAGAAGTCTTGCTACTTACCTCCAACCACTGGTCTTTCTCCTCCTTTCTGGAAACCTGATATGTGTCTGCCACTACCTTGTCAGCAAGTCCATAGGGCTGCTGTTACTCATCCCTGTCCATCGATGAAAACACTGAGGCTTAGAGACTGGAGATCTGTGTTCAAGAAGAAAAGTCCAGATCTGAACTCAACTTGGCTTAAGTCTAAAGACATGAGGGCTTACGTGTGGGAGTCCCAGAGTGGACTGGGTTTCTAGGTGAAGGTCAGGTGACTCCAGTCTGCAGAAGAAAAAGGCCGAAGAGGCTGTGGACCAATGTGTGTCCCGTCCTGGATGGATTATGTACTGGTTAGCTTTGCACAGCTGTGACCAAAATGTTACAGAACAGCTTAAAGGACGGGAGATTGGTTTGGGCTCATGGTTTTAGAGGTGTCAGTCGAGCATGGCAGGGAGAGTGTGATAGAGCAGATCATACTGAGGCAGACAGGAAGTGGAGGTTGTGGTAAGAGTACCTCAGTTTCCAGTACTTTCAAAGGCTCACTGCAGGTATCCACTTCTTCCTGCAAGAGCCCACTTTTAAGCTTTTACAGCTTCCTATAATAACGCCGCCTGGTGGGGACCACAGATTCAAAACATGAGCCCCGCATTTTGCATTCAAATCATCAATGATTCTTTCCTCTGTGGAAGCTCACACATGCTGACTTTTATTTACCCTGAGACCCAGCCTCCAAGCCAGCCCTTGGGTCCCTGCTGACTCACCTGGTCCCTGTATTGGTCTCTTTCTTTGATTTGGAGCAGAATTGTCTAATGGTACCCACCTGCGTTGTGCTCTTTCAACCCTTGGTGACTCTAGGCTACTGATGCTAGCCCACCAGGCTACCGATGCAAGCCCACCAGGCTACCCCATGAGACCCCTTATCCCGTAGAACCTTATCTGGAAGAACAAGTGAAAAGCATGGCTAAAAGCCACTTGGTGGCTACCCTAAACACTTCCCCATACGTTAGGGAATACCCCTTCATCCATGACAACTTCAGGTCACAAGAAACAACTTCAAAGAGGCAAAAGTATAATACAGCTCTTAGGGCTTCTGAGCCTGTATGTGTAAAAGGTTCCTGGGTGTTCATGTAAGGTAACTTCCATGGAGTAACAGCCTGTGAGGATTCCCACCTGGGGTGGGGAAGGCTGGGGGAGTGAAACAGGGAGTCCTAGCACAGAGGGACTTTTGGATTTTGCTTTGCTCCCTGCCTCGGGCTGTTATTAAAGTTCACGCAGGTTTTCAGACACAATCCCACACCTGTGACCTGTACCGTCTGGCCAATGAGTGCTCTTCGTCTGTTATGAAAGTGTCTCTGCAATTAAAGCGACATGTGGAGAGGGCCTAAGAGATGGCTCCCCTCTTCCTGAGCGACACGGCCATGCTCTGAATTTAGAAAACTCCCTTTTGGATGAACTCAACACCCTTCCAGACATAATCTCATTTATCCCCCCAGCTGCCTGCTGGTCCTGGCAGCCCCTTTCCTAGAGGTGAAAAGTGACGCCGAAAGATCTGAGAGACAGATGAGAGTGTGCGAAGGCAAGCCCTGATACCTAGGTCTCCGGACCCTGTCCCTCAGCCCCGTCCCGCTGTGAACTCCGTTATCCTGACGCCCTGAGCACCAGAGGGAATATGCATCCTTCCACTTGCAATTGTCTGAAGAAAGGTCAGTTTTCAAAATCTGTGCTTGGTCACAGAGCTGGGCCCAGGAGCGAGGCTAGATAGAAACACGTAGAAATCAGAATTTCAGATTCTTGAGAAGCGAAGTGGAGGCGAACACGGGTAGAAGAGCACAGGGGAGGGTGATGGGCTCCCAAGTGCCCAGTGATTGAGGCCTCAGTGGCCCTCAGCCCCTGAAAGCATAGGCGAGCAAGCCATCTCAGCGTGAAACACAGTGAATGATGCCACGTGATCCGCGCACAAGGACTGGTGCCTCGCTTAGCGTTCACGGTTCATTGGTTTTTGAAAGATTCCAAACTCAGGCAGATGGTGCGGTTCATGCTTGTGCCTCCTCAGGCACGGCTGCTCAGGTGTCTAAGCTGGTGAGTACGCATGGCAGTTGTTCGAGTTCATTTGCTGTCGCTGAAAGCACACTCCCTCAGACTGGGTAAGTTATAAAGGTAAAGGAATCATTTGCTGCTCGTAGTTCTGGAGGTGATGGTGGTGGTGGTGTGTGTGTGTGTGCATGTATGTGTGTGCATGTGTGTGTGCATGTATGTGCATGCACGTTCGTGTGTGAACATGTGTGTGTGTTTCTGCCTGTGTGTGTTTGTGTCTATGTGTATGTGTGTGTGTGCATGCATGTGCATGTGTGTGCTTGCATGGGTGTGTGTGTATGCACATGTATGTGTGTATGTTTCTGCCTCTCTGTGTGTGTTTATGTCTATGTGTATGTGCATGCGTGCGCATCTTTGTAAGTACTCGTGTTGGTACCCAGAGTGGCCAGAAGTCAACCTTGGGTGCTGCTCCTTAGGATCGGTCTGCGTTGGTTCTTGGGAGTCTTTCACTACTGAGACTTGCTGATTGAGCCCTAGGAACCTGCCAGCCTGTGTCCCCAACATGGGGATTACAAACACCAACTATCACATGCAGGCTTTTCTATGTGTTCTGGGGATCAAACTCAGGCCCTCAAGTTTGTGCAGCAAGCACTTTCTGGGCTGAGCCATCTCTCAAGCCCCAGGTGATGGCCATCTTGACGGTAGAGTCCTGAGGCAGCGCAGGGCACCATGTGACAAAGGGCAGGGAGTGCTTGAGAAATACAGCCAAACTGGCTTTTATAGCAGACCCATTAATTCATTAATCGCATGAACGGGTTAATTTATTCATGAACACAGAGCCATAATCACCTCCTGGAGGTCCCACCTGATCCCTGCTCTGGGTATGTCACACTGGAGATGCGATTTCATCATAGACTGTCATGGGGCAGACAACGTTCCAAGCACAGTAGCACCCCGCAGAATACTGACAGCGTTAGCAGCTAACCTGTATCGATAGCTTGCTCAGGAAAGGCGTAGCCACTTCATGAGTGTTACCATATTTAATCCTTTCCCAAAGCTTGCAATTGCCAGCCCATTCTCCTTCTGAAAATACTGAGGCTTACTGAATATGGTTGAGGGCTTGCAAGAAGACTCAGTTCATCAAGTGCTTGCCCTCCATGCCCGGGGACCTGAACCCATATGGAAAAAGGAGTTTCCTAGTCGCTGATCTATCACTGTATAGAAACCCTGCCGCTGTAATCTGAAAAAAGGTGCGTGAGAGAAAGACACTGTGTGACAGCTCAGGTGCATGGGGAGAAAGTGAATGAAAAGAGGGGGAGTGGGAGACCAGTCTCTGGGGACAAGAGTGGCAAAAGACAAGAGAGACAGACAGACAGGCACAGAGAGAAAGTGTGAGAGATGGGAGGTGGGCGGGGCCCTTTTTAAAGAGAACATAGTGCATGTACACAGGAGGGGCTCTCGGTGGCTACAGCTGAGGACGTGTACCCCAAGGTCAGGCCAGTGCAGAGGCCTGGACACTAGCAACCATGACCATGGCAACTCTTACAAAAGAAAGCCTTTAAATGGGGGGTTGCTTATGGTTTCAGAGGGGTTAGCTCATTATCATCACGGTGGGAAACATGTCAGAATGCAGGCAGGTGCTGAAGCAGTAGCTGAGATCGACTGACCATAGGCAGAGAGAGAGGTAGGGGGCAAACCTTGGCCTGTTGTGAGCTTTTTAAACCTCAAAGCCCATTCTCAGTGACATAATTTCTCCAACAAGGCCACACCTCCTAGTGCCACTCCGTGCTGACCAAGCGTTCAAATCTATGAGTCTATGAGTGCCATTCTTATTCAAACCGCAGCATTCCACTCCTGGCCTCCATCGGCCTGTCGCCATATCATAAGGCAGAAATGTATTCAGTCAAACTTCAAAAGTCCCCATAGTCTACAACAGTCTCAGCACTGTTTTAAAGTCCAAAGTTCAAAGTCTATTCTGAGACGCGAGGCAATCTCTAAACGGAAACTCCCTGTAAAAACCAAAATCAAAAAAGCAGGTCATGTACCTCCTCCAGACAATAGCCCAGGGTATACATTACCATTCCAAAAGGGAGGAGAGGGAGCGTAGCAAGGAAACAGCGGACCCAAGCAAGGCCTGAAACCAGCTGGGCAAACGCCACACTCTGCATCCCCACGTCTGATGTCAAAGTGTTCTTCAGATCTCCTGCTCCTTCAGCTTTGCTGACTGCACCAAGAACAACCACTGTGTGAGTTGTTCTCTGACCTCTGCATGCACACCGTGGTACATGTGCACACACACTGTGTATCACTCTCTCACGCTCTCTCATACACACACACATACACACTACTAATAATAACAAATAACAAATACTTTGAAAGACTACAGCTGATATTGTCTACCTGACTCTTCCTCAACTACTCGGCCATTTAAGTGCTTCTGTTTGGAAAGACTAGTCATTGGTACGGCAGGGAGCTTCCCGTTGGCCACCGTAATTTTTCTCTCCAAGGAAGCCAATGAAACGCCAGCTTTGCCGCTGAACCCTAGGAAGCAGATTCTGCTTTTTAAATCTCAGTGACAGCTTCCCGTCTTTCTGTCTTCCAGTTCCATTTGTAAACAGTCACTGAGAAGTACAAACCTCTGATGCCTTCTGCGGAGTTCTAGCACAAGCTGATTAGACGTCAACCTCCTGGAAGGCGGCACTTAACCAAACAACACAGAGAGCTTCACAGAGAGATATCTGTATCGACTCTGTTCTCCTCGTGCAGAGGTCAGGGACAGCATCGTCCCACCCCCAGGACAGGTGCTCACCTTGCCCTCACTCCCCAGCTGCAGACATTCACTTGCACAGGTTGCAGAGGCCTGCCTGGAGGGTGACCTCGGAAAGTCTGCGCGCCATCAGATGAGGAGTTAGGATACCCAAGGCAAGTCACGCGGGAAGCCTTTCAACCGTAAAGCATAGCCGTTGTTCAGGCCACAGCTCCCACAGGCCACCGAGGCTCGTTGTTCCTGTTGAACCTTGAAGCAAGAGGTCTTGTCTGACTGGTGCCCTTCTGGCGTTTCTGTTTCCTTAGCATCATCGGCTGCTTTCCTGCCTGCTGAGAAGACTAGCAACAAAGAAATGGATTTATGCCATGTCCCTTTTCCTCGTCAGACAAAACGCACCACGAGGACAAGTGTTCAGTTCCTCTTGCTCAGCAGAGTGTCCCACACACCTAGCTGCTAGCCACTAAATACGTGTAAAGGAAAAAAATGAGTAAATATTCGTGAAAGGCTAGGTGACCACGGGGACACTGCACCGCTCGGTCTTCCGCTATTATAATATACACCGGAGATGACCAATATATGAGAGAGAAGGCTTATTTTGCATCCCTGCCTTGGCAATTGGAGTGCAACTATTGTTTCATAGGACGTGGTACATGTATTACGAGCAGTCCAGCGAGTGGTTAAATGGTATATTCATGCCATAAAATACAATGCAGGCATTAAGGAGAATGGAGTAAGCTGGGGGCGGAAGGATGGGGAGCACGTCTTTAATCCCAGCACTCAGGAATCAGAGGCAGGCAGATCTCTGTGAGTTTGAGGCCAGCCTGGTTACAAAGCATGTTTCCAGGACAGTCAGAATTGTAACATGGAGAAACCCTATCTTGAAAAACAAATAAACAAAAATGAGTGGTTTGATATTTAAATTTGTTTAAAAAAAACAAACAACTTGGGGGGCTGAGGAAATTGCAGAGGACTCATTTTCAGTTTCTGGTACCCATGTGGGGCTCACAATCACCTAAAACTCCAGTTCGGGGGTGGGGAGGTCTACTCTCTCTTCTAGTTTTCTAGGGCGCTGCATGCACATGGTACACTTACCCAGGTAGAACACTCATGCACGTAAAATAAAAATAAATAAATTTTTAATTAAAAAATGCTCTACAAACTCCAAGGCTTTAGTAAATGTCCTAAACAGCTTGATCTAACTTGTATTAAAAACTATGTGTCTAGCCAGGTATAATGACATATGCTTATAACCCCATCAGCTGGGAAGAAGAGGCAGGAGGATCAGTAATTCAAAGTCATCCCCTGCTATGGACCAATTTCCAGACCAGTCTGGGTTACAGAAGACCCTGTCTCAAAAGCAAAACAAAAAGGACAGGGGGAAAAATGTGTTTCTATACATTTGCATATGTGCAGATTCATGACCAAAAGCCTATCTTAAAGGACCAAAACATGGTGATCTCTGCAAAAGTAAACTGGAAAATGGGTAGACATGAAAGGGGTCTTGCAACTTTCAGTTCAAATTCCTTTGTAATGCTCACTTTTTTAAAAATGAAATGCACAAAGAAGAAGAAGGAGAAAAATAAGGAGAAGGAGGAGGAGGAGGTTGGAGGTACACGTCTTTAATCCCAGCATCCAGGAAGCAGAGACAAGGGATCTCTATGAGTTCGAGGCCAGCCTGGTGTACAGAGCTAGTTCCAGGACAGGCTCCAAAGCTACAGAGAAACCCTGTCTCGAAAAACAACAATAATAACAACAACAAAATAAAATTTTATAGTAGTTCCAGCATCTGGGAAACTGAGGCAGAAAGATCCTAAGTTCCAGGCCAGCCTGGTTACACACAAGAACCTTGCCACAAAGAACAAAATGAGATTGCACTCACACATTTGCCATGGATCATTTTTTTATTATTTATTTATTTATTTACTTACTTATTTTAACACAGGGCCTCACTGTGTAGCCTTGGCTGTCCTGGAACTCACTATATGGCTGAGGCTGGTCTTGAACTCACAGAGATCTGCCCGCCTCTGCCTCCAAAACGCTGAAGTTAAAGATATATACCACCACACCCAGCCTTTTCTAATTTCTGAAAATTATAAGTCAACCCAACATACCCAGGAATTTCTTCCCATAACAGGTCTAAAGAATACAAGAAAATGGTACAAAACAATCAGCCTTTTATATCCAAAGTCTCTACATTCATTGGCCCTGCCAGTCCCAGATCAAAAGTACTTAGGAGAGTTCTGTTGCTGACAGGGGTGGTGGGTTTGGCTGCGTGTGCTGACCTTGCAGAATTTCCTTCTCTTCCTCCTCGTCTAAACACAGAACACAGCCACAAACTTGGTAGCGTTTGTGTCGTAGGAGGATGTTATCAGCAATCTCAACACGACTCAAAGTGCAGAGGAAGCTGTGTATAGGTTACATGTAAATAGGACAACATTTTATGTAAGAGCACTGGCAACTGCAGATATTGGTGTCTGAGGGTTTCTGGAACCAATTCCCTGTAGGCATTGGAGGTTGTCTGTATATTAATTTGAGAAAATTAGTTATTTAGTTTGTTGCCATAGCCAGAGGCTCTTGGGCATAAGCAATACTTAGAAAAAAAATCTTTGTCTTAAATCCTGTTAAGTGAAAATTATTGAAGGCCATTGTTTTGGAAATAGCAACCAAGTTATTACCTACCCTTCAGAGAAATTAGGAAAGAGCCAAATTTCCCCCCAAAGGCCAGTTTTAATCAGCATGATAATTAAGTTCCTTCAGTTTAATCCTTACAAAAACGTAGCCTGATGTTAGCAGATTATTTTCTGGTGTTCTGTCTTAGCCAAATGCTACAAGAACGGTAACCAAACTGACCCTTTTACTGGCTGTAAAAACAGCCCCTCCACACAGCATTTCAGAGATCTAAGTAGAGCCCCATTCCAGTATGGAAAATCAAGCCAGTTCAGATCTTACCAAATGTGCTGTAAATTTGTCTTTTGATAGTCTATTCCCAGGAAACAGTCTGGCTCAGAGTCGTTGGCCACTGCCTGCTAGGAAGTATGTTCAACCAGGAGCAGTGCCCAGGAGTGGCAAGAGTGCCACTGGGAACAGAGAGAGACTGAACTCTGGGGGCAATTCCAATGGAGGCTCCCATCCTGCTTCTGCCAATGCTACCACCGGAATCTTCCAGCAAGTGGCCCTTTCCTATCCAATAGGCATGAACTGGGGCTGCCTCATGGGGCAAACATGCCATTGAACACAACCACACCACGAGGAAGGAAGCCAAGGACTCTATACACCACCAGCTTTGAAGCAACTGGGTCAAGAATCCCGGTTGGGACAGGGGACTTGGTTGTTCACCGAGAACCACTGTACCATCCCTGGCTTCACCCTGAGGGTGACAGCTGGACACAAGACACTGAAGGAGCATGTTCTGAAGAGCAGGGATCTCTTTGCCAGTACGCTGATATCCGGCAACACTTTCCGGAAGGAAGGAATGACGGGCAGCAGCCATGGCCCAGGCTCCCAGAGCCCCAGGTTGCTGGGTCCCTGTTTCCAGGTATGGGATTCCCAAGGCTGGACCCACACACAAGGTAGAAGTCACCTTAGTGAATTCTGGGCACAGGCACTTTGAGCCTCACCCATAAATCTCCCAGCAGGGTGAAGGAGGCCCTGGGGACTGCTGGGAGTTGGAAGTCCACTCTGCAATTCACTGATGTTTCTAGCTTTCCTTTCTTGGCTGCCATTCACCTAATCCTGCGAACCATTCTCTATTTTCAGCGCTTCCCCATGAGAGCATCAGACGAAAAGACAGGCAATAAAGGACCGGGATGCCACTGTGTGTTCCAAAGGCAATCCTGGGGGGAAACGGCACCAGTGCCAAAGGCAGAGCTGGGAGCGGGGGCGCATGGTCTAAGGTGTTCCTAGCTGCTGCAAGAAGCTGAAAGGCTGTTGGCTTCAGCTTACAGCAGGCCTCGGAATGTTTTAGGCCCAGTGTTCCCGGGCCGCAGTGTGAAGACGGACCTCCTGGATTTTGTTGCTTCCGGCTTGGAGAAAATTTCAAAATTCAGGTTCTGGCTTCTGGTTTATGGACCATACCTGAAGTAGCTGAGGCTTTGGGGGGGGGGAGATTCTAAATGGGTGTCACTGGGTTAGGTCATAGTTGTCACCCTGCCACACCCCCACTCCTGCTTTATGTGGTGGGCCCCAGGCTAAGCGGCTTGGAATAAACTTCTTGCTTCTTTTGCAAAAATCCTTCCAAATAACTACCTGACACCCTCCCACCCTCAGCCCCATTTACAGAAGGACCAGAGCCCAAGGGAGACAAAATGAGCGGCTAGTCAGTGATGAATCCAACACTGCAATCTTTTAGCCGCTATGAAGAGCAGGTACCCTTTCCGATGTGACTTTGCCTTAGAAATGCTGTCTAACTTGGTGAGGAGCGAAAGGCTTGAGGCTGAGGGCTTGGCTAATGAATGCTTGCCAGCTTGTAGGAAGCTCTGGGTTCAATCCCCCGCACCAGATAAGTCAGACTTGAGTGGCTACACGGTGAGTCGGAGGCCAGCAAAGGACCCGCTCTCTCCCGTACTCCTTAGTCTGCTGGAGGCCAGTCAGTACTGAACCACAGTGGGCCCTTGGCAGCTATCCCAGCCTTCGGCAATGAGACGCAGCGAGGGACCAGGCGCCACCTGCTTGGCCCCAGTCGTTGGTCCTCCTGCAGCTGCGCGCTCATTGCTCCCAGCAGCGCCTAGGCAAGCACCCGCGTTCTCAGACCTCAGCAGAACGTTGCTTAGCTCAGGCTTGAAATCCAACCTAAATTCACCCCCTGGGCCTGCAGGCACATGCGCCAGATGCTCTTCCCAACCCAAGCTGGGGTAATGGGAGGTGACAGGCTGCGCGTGGGGACTTGGAGCGAGGGACTGAGAGACTGACAGCTAAGCACTCCTCCTTGGAAGGGGACCCTCAGCAGGAAGGGCTGGGGCTGTGCCCTGAGCCTCTTGGGGGCGCACTCTCATGCCTCCAAATGTCACTTCTTCAGGTCCCAATGCTTCACACCCTTCGGAGTTTGAGGTTCCTCTGGGTGGCTCCCGTTCCTCAGGGAGGGGTCTTCCTCCTCACCCTCAAAGTCCATTGCAGCAAACCCCGATATCAGGCTTTGTGGGAATTTTCTGGGGTGGAAAATAAA